GGGGGGGGAGGTAGCTTGCAGGGCGGGCGTCATACACGTGTATAACCCCACTCCGTATACACTCCTATGGAGGTGACCTTCAGAAAGGATCGTAACCGTCCGTCGAGGAAGATTCCCTCGTTTCACAATTAGGGCCATTGAAGGATGGAAGTTGGATGCTGCACGCTTATTACTATCCTATCCGATTGATGCTCCGCAAATCTAGCCTCGTCCGGTCGTGTTGGCTCGGTCAGTGTTTTAACGAGAACATTGGTCGGGGCATGTATTTGTTTTGTTTTGTTCGTTCCTTGTCTGGCAAGTGCGTTATGCTTCGAAGCTTTATTCCTCACGTAGATTTGCATCACCTCTCCGACCGTGTTGCCAGAGCACAATACCGCAACTCGTATGGAGTATGCATCCAACGACATTGTCGCAATACATTGGGCCTCATGCCTCTCCATCAAGCATACTGTGTACTATGATACACACACCCTGTTGTTTACATCGTACAAACACGCGTCCTTTTTGCCTACTCTCGCAGCTGTCAGAGAAAGCTGCTACATGAAACAATGACCGGGAATCCGATCCAAATTGGCACGTTGCCTTAAGATAGATCCAAGCTATTACCTGATAGAACAACAATAAACCGGTGCCTAGCAGCAGACGAGACAGACCGACACCACCTGCCTTCCCACGACATCCACACACCCCTTCATGTGTACAATTGGAAAAATATAAACGAAGAAGGTTTTCGAACGTCTCGGGAAGCCACTGCTTGCTCCCAGGAAGCCTGTAACGCTACTTAAACCTCCCCATCTCATGCCCGACGTTCGAAGAACCTCTTGTCTCGGGAAAACAACACCTATTCAATACCATCGGTGTGATACCCACGACAACCCAGACAAGCATCAATCGAACGGGAAAAGCGCAAGAACCAATCACCATACATTGCGTCCCCAAAACTGAACATGAAAAAACACTCAAAAACAAAACGGAACAGAACAAATGCATTTGCGCGACAAGAATAGGATTTCCTATATTTATCGTCCATGCTGAAGCACTTAGTTGGGCAAAAGGTAGTTCGAGTGATAACGTCGTATCTTCCTTCCTTGCCGTGCACCGTGGTGCCCTCGAAATGTGCTCGTGCGATCTTCAAAGAACTGCGAGCGTGTTGCCCGCAGCGAGCAGACCGCGAGTGTGCCTAACATACCCCGCACCGGTGCGGCACAATATACAGCAAAGCAGTTCGATCGAACAATGCATACGTAGTGTGGCACGCAACAGCAGCGGGGAATACTTCTACAACAAGCTCTACACGGAAGCTTTCCTCCCGTGCGAATGATGACACTTACGGTTTTTCTTCGCACCTCTGCGTCTAGGGAGACGACATACTACAAAAAGAGAAAAGAACCACACACAGTCTTTTTCCCATCACCCTGAACCTCTATATGGCCAGCAAGCCAACGCACTCCAAGCATGCGCCTAAGACAGCCCGGCCCCCTCGTCATAATCGCCGCCGGCGAAAGTCTCAAAAAAGTCTTCGAATCTCGCTCCTTCACCTCCGTCCCTTCCCCAGGCCCACGACAGCGACGCCTTCCCGTCACGTGGCGTCGTCCCAACGCCCTGCGTTCCACCTAGCCCCGCTGCAGCGTTTACCGCTGCTCCCGGGATGGCTGCCGCCTGCTCTCCTGCCGGGACATGGTTTGTCCCGCCATCGAAGGCGTTTCCGTCGGCCACGTGGCTCCGTACCGGCGGCGCTAGCTCGTGGCAGCGGGTTTTCCCGGCCTCCCACCGCCGCCGCCGCTCCGCGAGCCAAGAGTCGATGGCCGCGGTCGTGCGGTCCGAGCACTTCTCGGCGTGGGCCCGGCAGCGCTCGAGCGCGTCCGTGGCAGCTCTGCAAACAGAAAACGCGGCAAGTTAGGGATGACTGGAGGTTATAAATAGCTGAAAAAGTGATACGTTGGGGAGGGGAGGGCCGAAGGTTTTAGTTGCAACGCTCGAGGAGACCAAAATTACCAGATGAGGTATATAAGGAAGAGCAGAGACTTCATTTCGCGGTGGGGTTTTCGTCGTGGCCACTTGGTGGGATGTTTGTTTCTGAAGTATTCTGAACCAGGCCCGGTGAATGTTGTTTGTGCATCAATGAGCATCTTCTTTGGATTACCCGATCCAAGCTCGCCTACTGAGAACTAATAAACGAAAGATCAAGAATTGGAACAAGATGTGGCATACTTGTAAACTGTTTCTCGTCTAAACCCTTCCAACCCCATGCCTTTCAACACGCGTGGGTCCCATGGCTCTTCGACTGAATGAGCTATCAAGTAGGTGCCTCACTTGCAGTTGCCTCGAGAAAGACACGCCGAGTCCAAAAACCATGCACCGAAGGTCTGGGAGGCGCCTCCTCTGTAAGAAGCACCCTTTCTTCATAACACGCGAAGTGGTTGATAAAATTTACTCACTTCTCCCTCGCCGAGGAAGCCTCCAGCTCCCGCTTCTGCGCCTGTCGCGTGGCCTTCTCCCGCTTAGAGGCCTGCTTGCCGGCTGCCTTATCGCGTGCCTTCGACAGCGGATCGAGCGTCTTGGAGACTCGCCGCCGAAGCCCATCCCTGATATCCCGCTGTTCGTCATGGCTGTACCTGTTGCACAATGCCAAAAAACGAGAGATGGATGAAGGGGGGTACAGATATTTCTCGTGACACGGCGAGGCGCGCACTTCGAGATCGACGCGCCTCTGGGGCGACTCATATAACAATTACAGGCTTGGTGTACAACGCCACCCGACTCTTACCAACGCATCGAAAACCATATCGAGTGGTCCATCACACCAAAAGGGTCGACATCGAAAGAGAGAATAGAGCATCACCAACTCACCACTGCACGAACGCCTGCAAGTCGTGATGCTCCGGCAATCCCCACCCGCCCCCGACGTTAAACCCGTCGCTCGCACGTCCGCCGCCGCTTGGATCATGCCAAGACCCGCCGCCGCCTGCAGGCCGTGATTTAGGCAAAGCAACCGCCCCGCTTGCACCGGCACCGCCAACACTACCGTTGGTGATGTCGCTGCTACTTCTTCGGCGTGGCCTCCTCCTGAACGCGGACGCTTCCGGCTCGGACCCGGCGCCCGCCTCCTCCTCAGCTACCACCGCCGTGTCTTCCTCTCCTCCGGCCACTCGCGAGGCCGCGCGCCCTTGCTCTTCGCCCTCGTCCTCTTCGAGGACTTCGTGTAGTCGGAACTGCGATGACGGATTCGCTCCGCCGCCGCCACCGCCGGCGGAAGGTGTTTTCGCCGCCGAGGCGCCACCGCCCCCGCTGGCCCCGCCCTTGCCGGCGGCACCGTCGGCGGCACCGCCCGCCGCCCCCGAAGAGCCGGCGAAGCAGGAAGACATGCTGCCCCCGGGTACAGAAGGTGGCCACGAGCCCGCAGTGGCGCTGTTGAAGGGGGGGGGCGTCGGAGGGAAGACGATCTTGTTGCGCTGAGGGGACTGGGGAGCCGTCTGGTGCGTTGCCTGGATTGCGGCCGGAGGGGGGGGGGGGGGGGGGGGGGGGGGGGGG